TTTCCAAAGATAATGAATATTTGGATGGAAAGTGGTACCACATAATTTACTAGTAGTAATTACTATCAGGCTATGTAAATGAATTACTTTCATCTATGTGATTGAACAGCCTGATTAGCTAAAGCTTCCTTTAGGCAAGAAGCACCTTTTTTGCTTCTTTTTTTTTTCAAAGTTGATGCGTTTGGCCAATCTTTTAGAAAAAAAAATATTTTCGAGTAAAAGCAAAAGCAGTTTTGAAGAAGTAAAAAAAATAATAGCTTCTTTTTCAAAGCAAATTTTTGAAAAATACTTTTGAGAAAATACACTTAGAAGCATTTTTTAAAAGTTTGATCAAACACCAATAACATGTTTGGCGAAGCTTCTTTTGAGGCAGAAACACTTTTTTCGGTCAAATGTGCTTTTTTCTAAAATTAAAGTGTTTGGCCAAACATTTAAATGGAAAAATGTACTTTTGAGGAGAAACAGAAGCAGTTTTGGAGAAGCAGAAAAAAATAGCTTCTCTCCAAAAGCACTTTTGAGAAAAATACACTTAGAAACAGTTTTTAAAGCTTGGTCAAACACTAATTGCTACTCAGAAGTGTTTTTCAAATTAATTAGTCAAACACAAACTGTTTCTCACCAAAAATACTTTTGAGAAAAACACTTCTCAAAATAAGCTAATTTTTGCAACTTGGCCAAACGAGCTATAATTCACCCAAAAATACTTTTCAAATTAATTAATCAAACACAAACTAATTCTTACCAAAAAATACTTTTGAGAAAAATACTTGTCAAAATAAGCTAATTTTATTTATAAGTCTGGCCAAGAAGACTATTAAGCGATTGCTATTTTGTCTGGTTTAATTCGATTGGAATGAAATTAGAAATAATTCGCTCCGAATGAAATTCAAAATAAGGTAGATATGTGAATGTGATGTAAAATTTAGAAGTGGAAAATAAAAGGAAATAAGGTAGGTTTAATTAGATCAGGGAAAGGGGAGGGGGAAGGTAAATAAGATGTTATATCAAAAATAAGATACCTTCTACCTTAACTGTAGAAGGTAGGAAGCTCACTAACCACGAGACTATGGATGTTTAATCCTATCAATTTCTTTTTCTTTATTTATCTTTTTTTCTTTTTTGTTGTTCACGGTGCAATTTTCACTATACATTTTGAAGGAAAAAAAATATACTATTTTTATTCCTTCCAATTCTAGATAATGAGTCATGACTATTGAATTCGTAATATCATTTTACCACACGAAAACAAAGCTTTCTTCCACGATTTAAGAGTTAAGACCAAAGTGCTTTCATGTCTTTTCTTGTGGTCCAATAGTGGGGATCTTGGTAAGATTTGTTACGACAGTATATTTTAATTCGCCACTGCAATACTAACTACTTGGATATGATATAGCTAGTGCATAAAGCGGCAGATATGTATTAGCTCGTATAACAAAATATGTAGTAGTACGGCTGTACTATTATCAAAAGGGCAAAGGGCCAAAATTGTATCCCTACTGCTGAAAATTATCCACGTTAATACCCCGTTCTACTTTCCGGCTAAAATAATACCTGTCGTTATTAAAGTAGGAGAATTTGTACCTAAATCTAACGGATCTCCTACGTGGCAATCGGGTCCCCCATAATAATATGCCAACCAGTCAATATATTGCCAACTAGATTTTTTTAACCCGCCCCATTTTATAATAATTCCCCCTAAAAATAATACCAGTCGAATAAAAATAGGGTTTCTTCTCCTTTGCTCGACTCTATCCTCTCTCATCTTCATCAATGTTGCAGAGCAGTACTTCTTCTCAGAGAAGGTGTCGATGTGGTATTACTGCCAACCATTTCACATCAACCACTCCCTCTAATCTCGGTAGAAAATTTTACAAATATGCACACCCTAAGGTAAGGTGTCGATGTGAATTTGTCTAATCTCTATAATCTTTCTAGCTGGTTTGATTTAAAAAAAATTGAATCTTTTAAATGTTTCTTTGGCAGAATAATTCATGTGGTTATTTTGAATGGGAAGATGAAATATCCACGGATGGTTCCCAGCTTGAAATAAGAGACCTGAAGTCGTCTTTGAATGCCGTTACGATTGAAAGAGACAAGTTGAGAGAAAAATTAATTGACATGGAAGCCATGAACAAACTTGAAGTTGCTAAATTCAAAAAATTGGAAGAAAGAGTTGTACAACTAACGATGGTGATAATTGGTTCTTGGGCAATGTTTGTTGGATTCTTTGCTGCCTGGATAGTGAAGTAGAATTCATTATTGTTCTTCCTAGTTTAGTTGATTGTTTAGTTAATTATCATTGTGTAGTCAATTGACATGTATTGTTTAGTTTGGTAGGGAACTTGTTAACAATACTTGTGTAGTCAATTGACATGTATCATTGTGTAGTCAATTGACATGTATCTGTTTAGCTGATGTATTCTGTGGTTTTTGGACTGAACTAGTCAATTTAATTTTCTGTTTTCTGTGGGATTATATTACCTCAAAGTGTTCGACCAAATTTACAATTGTTTTAACATGACTAAAACTGGTGGTAAGAAATTCAGAAATTTGAGACATGTCCATGACTTAATTCTCATGACTAAAACTCGAAATTTAACACAACAGCAGGTTAGTAACATTGACATATAACTGTTACCAATATTGATACCAACTGTCACAATAACACCAACAAACAATAAACACTATTTTAATTACATCAACCACCAAAACACCAGCAGGTTACTAACATTGACAGCAAACTAATAACACCAACTGTTTTAATTACATCAACCACCAAAAAAGAGATGCAACCAGCAAAAAAATGTAATGTCATAGTAGTAATAACGTCAACCAGCAAAGGATAATAACACTATTGTCATAGCAGTAATTACAAGCCTTCTAAACTTCAAATTCACAAAAACTTCTACTACACAAAAAAACTGTCCACCTATAGTTCAAGTCACATTAGTTTTGTGACTTGCCATTACCCTTTTTTGTTACAGCTTTCTTTCTCACACCAGATGAGTCACCAACAAAATTGATTGTCCTTCTTATAGCCGGTATGGTTCCTTGTTGTCTCATAAGTAGTCTTGTCCTTTTTTCAGAGAAACCCCTTGGCCTAATTTCTAGGGCAGAATCTGATTCAAAATCAGGAAACTCAAAATCTGGAGGCACAGTGTTGTTGGGAGGTTTCCTTTGGACTGATGGAGTTGGCATAAACTGAAAGTTTGAGGCTTGTACAGGATGACTTGACTGACTTGCTTGACTGAACAGTGGTGCTGAAAGATCTATGTCCTCCTCAGCTGGTATATTTGCAGCAAGTGGTGACATGGGTTGTTCATCATTACTGTCTTGAGTTGCTAAACATCTTTGCCTCTTTGCTTGCTTTCCCTTAGAATTCTATTTAACAAATAGGTAAGTGTAAATAGGTAAATAGGTAACAAATAGGTCAATAAAATAGACAGTATTGAAAAAAAGGTATTACCTTTGCACAGCCTCTGGCATTGTGTCCAGGCTGACCACATGTGGAACACTTCATTATCCTCCCCTTCCTGGACTGCATCCATTCACCTTGTCTGTTGACTGTTTCATTTTTTTCTCTTGTTCTTTTGAATTTAGGCCTGCCAGCCATCTTAACAAATTCTGGTTGTTCCATTGCATGAGATGCTTCAACCATCCAGAATTTTCTCCTCTAACTGGTTGAAGTTTATGTGAATATGCTAGGAGATAGGCCTCTTTGGAGTACCACCAGTGTATTTCAGTCAAAGGATTCACCTTGCTGTGTTGTATTGCTTTGATTGCATGAGGACAAGGGATTCCATTAAGGTCCCATGTCCCATGACAATATTCACTGTGTGTCTGTCACCATCTTCACTCACTTCATACCCTTCTTGACCATTGGAATGAACATGACACTTGTTTGCAATCTTCAAGTATTGGTTATACAATTGCATTGTTTGGGGGACTGAATTCATTACTCCATGACATCACAACAGATTCATGTTCCCTTAGCAAGTTCATAACCTTTACTCTAATATCCTCAAGCATCTTGATAATTGTCTTGAATCTTGCTTCCTTGATCCATGAATTGAATGACTCAGTTAGGTTGTTGTCCACTGAGTAGTTCTTGCAAACAGTGTCAAAGTATGCTCTACTCCAACTTTCAGGTGGGTACTTCATCAAATGTTCAATAGCCTCTTTTCAATCTTCATCCACTTGTGTCATATTCCTTAATTGATCTTTAAAATCTTCCTCATATGTGCTCCATACAACCCACCATAAGTACTTCTTATATTCCCCATGTCCCCATTTTTTGCACCAATTTGCCTCTATGTGTCTTACATAATATCTATGGTGTGCTTCAGGAAGAACCAAGTGGACTGAATCAATCAAACCCTTAAAATGGAAAAATAGTAAAGAAATGCATCAGTAACTAAATGTAAAAGTAAACTAAATGCAACAGTTATGAGTTATGAATCAGAACACTAATTGAAAAAAGTAAAATAAATGCAACAGTAGACCAATCTCAAGTTAACTAAAAGCAAACAGTTATGAGTTATGAATCAATAAACTAAATGAAACAATATACTAATGCAATAGACCAATGCAACAGTAGACCAACAATGCAACAGTGAAGAGCAACAGTGAGATGCAACAATGCAGCAGTAAACAGTAAACTTAGGAAATGAAGGGCTCATACCTTTTGCATATCTGAAATAAATGTGATCCCTTCTCCCATTTTGAGGTCCAATGAATGTTGTAGCAGCTTTAAGAACCAACTCCATGTCACTTTGGTCTCTTTATCAACAAAAGCCCAAGCTAAGGGATAAAAGTGCCTCATGGAGTCTTGAGCAATAGCTATTAGTAATTGACCCTTGCATTTTCCTTTCAGAAAGTTTCCATCCAAGCCAATGAATGGTCTCAACCCACTCTTAAACCCCATTTTAATGCATGAAAACAGATGTACATTCTTTGGAATTTTCTTTTACCTTCACTAAGTGCATCCTTTGAAATATTAATCACCCATCTGTTCCTGGATTACTAGACCTTAATTCATTAACATAAGCCTCAAGCTTGTTGTACTCATCTGCAAAACTACCCTCCATTTTCTTCAATATCATTCTCTTGGATCTCTTACACTTTGAATGACTAACATTGATGTTAAATGCAGCTTTTACACTTGCCATCATCTCCTTAATTTTAATCTTAGGATTATCTTGAAGCCTTCTCTTAAAGTAAGCAGCTATAGTTTTTGCATTCACCCTATGGTTATCATATACAGTATTACACTTATGTTCTTCCTTTAATGTCTTGAATTTAACACCAGGACCCTTAGAGTCTTTGGAAATATGACAGACAAAGGGGCAGTCTTCATCTAAACATCTGTACCTAAGATTTTGGGGGCAACTCTTAAGTTGTTTTAACACATAACCATTAGCAAGGGAATACAGGTTGATGAATTTTCTAGCTTCTAGAATGTCTTTGAATGTCATGGACTTGTGTAACTCCTTATACTCAGTCAATTTATCAGATATCTTCCTCTCTTTTTGTGTATGTAGTAGTTCTAATGAATCAGATTCACTGTCAGAATTATCTGATGAATCAGAAGACTGACAACCATGTTCTTCACTGTCATCTAAACTACAGTCAGTAGCAACATCAAGTTCTATTATGTTTGACTCAATGTGTTGTACTATATTATGAACATTAATACTTAACTCACACTCATCTACAACAAAGAAGTCAATAATATTAAACTGATCACTAACGAAAGACAGTAGAGTCCTAACACTTTCATCAATTTCTATTTCATAATATCTACCACTAGGCCCATTCATAATTACTTGTCGAACTCCAATAAACCCCAACTTAGAAGTAAATTCATTTACTAAATAGTTATAAGACAACTGGTCATAGTTAAAACCTTTAATAGTGTGCACAAGCTTCCTTGAGTATAAGAATTATGGATTATATATCCAATCACCACCATAATGAAAGATTAGATCCAATAAGACCATTGCAAATAAGCTGCAGAATAAGAAAGGGAAAAAATTAACAAAAAAGTAACATTACAACCTATATAATATGCTAACAAAGTGGAGGATAGAATAAAGCATAAAGTGAATACAAAGATACATAAACAAACAAAAACAATAGTGGGCTGCCACACATGAAGACAAAACAAAGAAATGATGCGGGACTAAGTATATAAAGAAAAAAAAACAAAATAAAAAGAATCTGACCCACTTGTCTCTTAACTCAACATAATTGTATAAGAAATAGGGGACCAAACACCCAAAATAAGAGCATCAAAGAAACAGATCCAACACAAAGGTGACCCCTTTTCTGTCAAATACCATATATGTAGGACCACAAAAATTGAAACCCTAAACCGGAACAAAAAGAAAATACCAGATAGGGATGATTCCAATACAAAATACAAACCCTAAACCACCAGTAATAAAGACCAAAAAGGTAAATAAATTTAGTATGAACAGACCACATGCAAACAAAAATAGGAAAACAAATTTAGTATGAACAGAACACATGCAAACAAAACAACCAAAATGAGACACCTCCTAACTAAAAAAATACATATCTACATGAATCAGTCAAAACCCTAGTCAAAGAAACAAAAAATTAAAACTAAATGCAACGATATGCTTCCGTCCATACCAAAAACAAACCAAAGAAATGACGATTTACTAAATTTAACAAGGAAATAGGTACCTTGGTATGCATCCACGATGAAGACGATGAAGACAATTTTTACAGTGAAGAGAGAAGGTGAGAGATTTTTCCGGAAATGAAGGTGAAAGGTTTTGACCGGGTTGGTATTGTTTTTAGGGGGAATTATTATAAAATGGGGCAGGTTAAAAAAGTCTAGTTGGCAATATATTGACTGGTTGGCACATTATTATGGGTGACCCGGTTGCCACGTAGGAGATCCGTTGGATTTAGGTACAAATACTCCTACTTTAATAACGGTAGGTATAATTTTAGTCGGAAAGTAGAACGGGGTATTAACGTGGATAATTTCAATAGTAGGGCTAAAGTGTAAGCACGTGATTTTTGCCCTGNGTAAGATTTAATTCTACAATTGTTAGTAATTAAGTTTGTTTTACAAAATATAAAAATCACAAAATATATNTGTTTCCTCCTGCGTGCTGCTGCTCCGATGCTGCTGTGTGCTGCTTCTAGCGACTGCCATGGCCAACCTTCAGGTTTGTTCGAAGTTACGACATGCCCAGCTCGGGAAACAGATTCATGGGTTGATTTTAAAGTTGGGGTCGTCAAAACACTCCATACATAGTTCAAGTTTGTCATTCGTTGTTCGTCGTTTCATTTCCGGTTAGTTGGTTTTTGAGTTTATTTTTCGCCCGTATTTAGTTGTGATATTTCTCAAATCTAAAATCGATGAATGCTCGATTCTTGTTTTGTTCATGTTTATCGTTGAATTAATTTTTTTAAGTTTGTTCATGTGTTTTGTTGTTTTAATTTTCAGATTCAAATGGAAACTTAATTAGTTGTTTTTTTTTTGTTTATTTCATGTTAATTTTATTTATTTTTTGTAAAAAAAGGGAATTGTTAGTTTAATGTTTGTTAAATTCAAATTGAAGTTTAAATTAATTGTTTCTTTAATTTGTTTCATGTGTTTTATGTATTTTCAGAAATTGTTAACATTGTTTAAATCATGTGAA